TATATATATAATTATAAAATATGTATGAGCATACGACAACATGTATGAGTATACGATACCCTGTATGAGTATACGATACCCTGTATGAGTATATGACGACATGTACGAATCATACATGAGTATATATCAACATGTACGAGTATACAACAACATCTAGCATAATACGACAACCCCTACGAACAAGTACACGCACAAGCCAGTACATGCGCACGTACATGGTCGACGCCCGAGGTGATGACATCGTTTACGTTTACGCCATGGTCCAGTAATTCGCTGACAATCTCGGCACTCGCCACATCCACAGCTCTGTGCAGCACAGACTGTCCGTTCTGAGACGTACGAGAGAGTGGGCAAGCGAAGGACAAGGCAGGTGATAAGTGATAAGAAGACGAATTGGGATGAAATGGGGTAGATAAGGGTAGTTGCGACATATTTGGCGGTCAGGTTAATTGCGAAATATTTAGCAATGAGATTGAAATGCGACATTCATATGTATATAATTAGATGTTAGATGTGAGTTTAGTCGTGTGAGTGAATACGGGTGCATACTACATAAACCTAACCTGTACATAGAAACACATACACAAAACATGATGCTACATATGCGTAACATAGACATAGAAAGGCATACACATAACATGTACATACACATAAACATATGTACATAGACATGATATGTACATACACATAACATATGTACATACACATGATATGTACATATACACAACATATGGACATACACATCATATGTACATACACAAATCATATGTACATACACATGATATGTACTTACACATAACATATGCACATACACTTAACATATGTACATACATATAACATATGTATATACACATAGTATATGTACATACACACAACATATGTACATACACATAGCATATGTACATACACATAACATATGTACATACACATAACATATGTACATAGACATAGCATATGTACATAGACATAGCAAATGTACATACACAGAACACCATACGGCAACAGTCGAATATAAAAGACTCTTTCAAACGGCATATCAAACAACATAACTATGCTGTATGTCTTAGTTCCGAACCTTCAATTGACACAACAGTACAGTCTATCTAGAGTGATGAGTGAATATACAACCATGCGTCTGTGCTCATGTGTTGTTGAGGCCGGCAGTAGGATCACACACACCCGAAACTCACCTCTGACCAACGTGCATGGAGAATGCCTATCCAGCACTATACGGCTCATACATACACTCCAAGAACTTGATTTCAGATATGACTATGATACACAGTTGTGTTATATTAGAACAACACATATATGCCTTCAGATATGTCTACAATAATACACATTTATGCATCATCTGGTTAATCAACACACACTTTCAGATATGTCTATAACTCACATTTATATTCCATCTGGTTAATCAACACGCACCTTCAGATATGTCTATAACACACATTTATATTCCATCTGGTTAATCAACACACCACTTCAGATATGTCTATAACTCACATGTATGTTCCATCTGGTCAATCAGCACACACCTTTGACTTGTGCTTCACATTAGCACCACGTGTCAGCAGTAGAGATATCAGCGGCAGATTTCCTTCGCGTATTGCATGCCATAGCACAGTGTGACCGTTCTGATTCGTTGGCGGTTTAGAAAGGGGAGATAGAGGTTAAGAACGAGAATATGCATATGTATATATCTGCGTATATATATATATATATATATATACGTGTACACATATACACATAGGCAAATATAGAAATATGTGTACATATACCAATATATACATTGTATATATCCATATATATACATATATACATAGATACATAAAAACATATATACATATATACATATACTCACATTTACATATACAGGTATATACATATACATATATACATATATACATATATACATATATACATATATACATAATGCATATATACATACATACATACTTACATACATATCTATATACCTATATAGCTATACACCTATATACCTATATTCCTATATACCTATATACATATATACATATACAGATATATACATTTACCGATATATACGTATACATATATATGTATATTCATATATACATATATACCTATATACAAATGTACATATGTGCATATGTGCAATTGTACATATATACATATATATACATAAATATGCACATATATATACATATATATTCATATATATACATAAATATGCATATATATATATATACATATATATTCATATATTTACATATATATCACGCATGTGTGCATTGTACTTCGAGCTGTGTGTCTGACAGTCATTCTATTAGGATGCCTCATATCCTTCATTGTCTCCTCATGACTATGTCTGTGCGTATGTCCCGCACTTTAAAAGTTTAGATTGCTATCCAAGTATTTGAATTTGAGTGCTACATAGACTGTGTTGTGTGTGTCTGTTCATGTGCTTGGTTTCCTGCACATACGTGTACTAGAGTATTAAGCACTGACATATTCCCCATAATCGACGCATTGTGCAACCGCCTGTGCATACTCTGTTGTTTCAGACGTACAAGTTGCATCTCTCATCAGTACCACGTGCACACAGTTGAAGGGTCCAGTCCGATGAGTGTCTGTTTGCTCATATACAACTTCTTAGTCAGTTGATTATATACTAAAATGTATACTGCAGCTGTCGAGTGAAATGGCACGCATGTAGGTTACGCCTATAACATTATACGCGTTCATGTATACACGTTGAAGCTACATGCGCACTTCCGCATACGCTAGCGTTTATGCATAGAGGCCCGTAGGTTATAGTTCCGTCCCTACGTGTATTGTGTGTATATATCCATATACGTATACGCGACTATGCACACTCTAAGACTGTCTATTCACCTCTACAGCCTACTCACACCCGATCCCAACCATGCCCACGAAGGCGTATGTAACTACTTGAGCTGGAATCGTTAGCATGTACGTATACATAGACCTCTATAGCCACAGCTTACACGCACCTGATCCGTTCGATGGATGTCTCCCCCTCTGTCCAGTATCAGGGAGATCAGCTGCATGTCTTGCGTCTTCACGGCATGAAACAGCGCAGTGTTGTGCTCCTGCAGGTAAAGTATATATATATATATATATATATATATATATATGTGTGTGTGTGTGTGTGTGTGTGTGTGTGTGTGTGTGTGTG